GACGTGGTAATCTTTTTAACCTTTGTATCCAAATCTTTCCGTGAAGTGAAGGACGTTTGTAAGTATGCGATAGATGGCCGTACCTAAAACATGGTTCCCACGACCGAGAATAGGCGGGGTGATTGTGATGCCTTGACTACTAGAATGTCTGTACGCTTGGATGCATAAATGGAAAACACTTACATGATTTGATTAACAGGGCATGCTAGATAGGAACAACTCTCTGGCTTACAGTTCTATTGGCATTGTGTTCTTGAATTGTGGTGACACTCAGAGGGTTGAATTTTGAAGACATACGTAATATGACAGCAAGGCTTGATTATACACATCCAGACTCCTGGGAACCAGGCATTTTATTGTCTCATGGGGGTGCTAAATTTTTTATGAATGGTAGATTATTACTACGACGTGAAAGGCGATAAGCATCTGGCCTTTATTAGGGAAAGAAACAATTTAAATATAATACAGACCCTTAAATTAGGTGTTCCTTAAATAACAAGAGTCTGAAGCTTTGGATAAATTTAGAGAACGAAGGACACTGTCGAAAATCTAACTGGAAGTGAATTTAAGGTTGTTTGAATTGACTAGATTCTCAAACTTTGAATTAAGGTCCTTCCAAACATGACTGCTCTTGATTGTTTTCTGAAGCTGCTGTAGAAAATTTACAATGGATGTCTGCGAGTAAACTTCTGACTACTACCTGAATGACCAGCATTGAATTTGATCATGATCACTATAATGTTATATCATTCTATCTTCTATCTTCTTTTCGATGTCAAGAGAACAAGTCTCTATGTATCTCTACCATCTTTTTGGATGGATGTTAAGAAAACAAGTATCGACGTATCTCTACAATGGTACGATGTTGCCCACTTTGGGCATTGGTCATTATTTTGTTTGTTTTTGTTCTACCTAAAAGGATTGTCCTCACTTATTATGATATATAACGGAGATGTAGACGGGTGGCTACTTTGTCTTTTTTAAATGGCCATCTAACATTCGAATTTCCTTCAATCTTTGTTGTCTGGCTTTGCTATATAGAAAACCCCTATCCTAAATCATTTAGTGATTCTTTTTCAGACTATCTTCATTCTGTTTTTGTACTAATTACTATGTTTTTATGTACAGTATGAGTCTTTATTTTTGTTTGTTGACTCATGGGATAAATTTTGGGCTGTCTTTGGTAGTTCCTCTTATCGATGTAGGTCTGGCTGAAAATTTTCTTTTGCAGATGAGGATGCTATGTCATCAGATGATGAGCTTAACTGGGGAGAGAGGGAAGTACAAGATGCTCAAATGAGATTAGAAGACAAAGGTCTTAAAGATATGCTCTTGAGTAGATTTGGCAGCCACATTGGAACCTTGAAGCTAGAATTTTCAAAGAAGAAGAAGAAAGGAAAACTACCTAAAGAAGGAAGGAAAGTACTGCTCGAGTGGTGGAATGTGCACTATAAATGGCCATATCCTACGGTATATTTTCTTTCTCCACCAGCAAATATACGTAGCGATGTTTTTAGTTCTCCAATGAATATTCTTCCAACTATTTTGGCATTTCCAGTTTGTAGCGCTCCTGACCTTAGTAGCTACTGTTAGTTGTCATGGTTTATCAGTTTTTTATTTTAGTGTAGCTTGTCACTATATTTTAATTCTGTCCACACGCCATTGAATATGAAAGTCTTTTTGGATGTAAAATAAAGTTGGATTTAAAGTAGCTTGTTACCAAGGAATTGATGAATGATAGTTCCGAGTGTTGCTGCAACACACGCAGGGTGCTTCGTTGCTTGTCTAGAGTCCCCATGGAAGGACATTTTAATCTTAAACTTGTTGCTGATTGAAACACATTTGCATTGAGATTTGTGTTAGAAAGATTTAAAGCAACGTGATAGTAATGAATGAATATAATTGTATTGTATTAATGGCGTGTTTGTGAATCATCCAGGAAGCTGATAAGATGGCGCTGGCAGAGACAACAGGACTAGATCCGAAGCAAATTAACAATTGGTTCATAAATCAACGAAAGCGGCACTGGAAACCTTCTGAAAGTATGCAATTTGCAAGTATGGATGATGTGGGTGAACAATTATACGCTAGGCTGGACTCTTGAGACTGAGGTTATACATCACCCAATGGGTATACATTACATGCTTTAAAATCACTCACTTTTGCTAAGCCCCAATAGTTTAGCATATATATATATATGTATGTCCAAGAACAAACATTTGTGTTGAGTACATGGCTGGGAAACTATCAAAATGGCTTCCATACTTCTGCATCTCTTTTGTATATTTCTGAAATTGTTAACATTGATTATGGCAATGTTAATTGAAGTTTGAATGATTTCTCTCTGTCTCCTACTCTCCCTTCTCTATGTCTAATCGAAGTTTATTTTATTTTTATAAGCCACAACCTTAAGTTCTCGGTCACATTTGCAGCCCCATCTCTCTCATGGATTCGCATTTCTGATTTAGTGCACTCAGGGAATTAATCTTTTAATAATTCAATATATTTGTAAATATTCCAAATTCAAGCACACATATTCTTTTATAATTTTTTTTTTTTTTTGAAAAATAGTTTTTTTTATAATATATATTGAATATTCTATTGCATTATAAGTGTAGAAGTCGTGTTTAATTTTACAATACACACAAGTTGAATACTTTACCTTGTAGTGATTTAAACATTAGGCAACATAAATCTATAATATATCTATAAATAATTTGACATGATAAATCTATAAAAAAAGAAAAAAAAAAATTATCAATTAAGCTAAATTGTAGCCCAAATTCCTCGTCTCACATTTCTTGTTTAAAAGAAAAAGAAAAAGAAATTAATTTATCTTTTTTTATTTTTGTTGTTGGAAAAACGTAAACTGGATAAGCCGGATTGTGTGGAACGATCGCAAATGCAGCAAAGTCAAGTCTGGCGGGAGTATTACAATGGCGGCTTGCGTTTACGGTGAATCGAGCGGGATCACCATAACCATAGTTCTTCTTTAGTCGAAGCGGTCATCTGCAATTTCATGGCTTCATCCCTTCAACTCCAATTCCGTCTTCCTCCTTCAACCACTCCAGCTCTTCTGCGTCACCGCCCTATTCAATGCGCTACCGACCGCCAGGCATTGTTCGCCCGTATTGCGCCTGTCTATGATAACGTTCGCTTACATTTACTTTTCTCTTCCTCGATCCATTCTTTCTCATTTTTCTTTTCCCCTCTTGAAGTTTTACTTTCCTTTCTGCTTCGAACTTAGTTGAATGATTTGCTCAGTTTGGGTCAGCATCGTATTTGGAAACGGATGGCCTTCTCCTGGAGCGGGTATGCAATGTTCTCGTTTTCTGATGCCGAATTGACTTATCTCTTCTTCTTATTTTTTTCTAAGCTTTCGAACATTTTGGAACAGTGCAAAGGCAGGAGACTGCGTCTTGGATATATGCTGCGGAAGCGGCGATTTGGCGTTCCTCTTATCTCAGAAAGTTGGATCCAATGGCAAGGTAACCCGACGCAAAACCCAAGTTGGTTTCTTTGTCTAATTTGTCGATCATGATAACTAATCACCCGATTCTTTGGTGATAATTCACAGGTGACGGGTCTTGATTTCTCACGGCAGCAGCTAAGTATTGCTTCTTCTCTCCAGACCCTGCTATAAGAACATCGAGTGAGCATTGATAATCTTGAACAATGAATATGTTGGTCTGCACTAGTTAGAAAATATTGAAGTATTCTACTCGGTATTTATCTTATAAAAAATCAAACTATGACGATAGAGTTTTGCTACAGTAAGAATTACAATTTTTGCAATTTGTAACCGTTTTTGAAATTATCAATTTAATAACGCTGCTGCCGAAATGAAGGTGGGTGGAGGGTGATGCTCTCAATTTGCCATTTTCTGACGGCTCTGTCGATGCCATTACGATGGGCTACGGTCTACGAAATGTGCTAGATAAACGGAAAGCTTTGGAGGAGATGCTTAGAGTATTGAAAGAAGGTCTTTTGCTGGTTATTCTCCATTACTTTTTTTCTTTTTTTGTGGCGGGGGGAGGGGTGTGCTTTCTGATCTTGGATTGTGAGTTTATTACTGTGACTCAACTCGTGAGAATGATCCCTCTCTTTATTTTTTCTTCATTGATAAAATGGTAGAATTCAGTTACAAAATTTGCGTACACTTCTCGATTAAAAAAATTCAGGTGGTCTTTCCAGGTAGTAGGCTATCAATTCTCGACTTCAACAAGGCTACGCAACCGACTACTGCTGCTATTTCAGGTACTTTTATGTAAAGGCCTAAATTTTTGCTGTGTGGTGCACACTTCAAATTTAGTGAGTATCTACTCCGTTTGTATCCCTAAAACCCCTACTTGTTTTGCTTGTTTCTTCTGAACTTCCTCTATCCAAGGAATGGATGATCAACAACATCGTTGTCCCAGTGGCATCTGGTTATGGGCTTGCTGAGGATTATAAATATCTGTCTAAATCCATCAGTGAATTTTCAACAGGCAGGCTCTTTGTCTCTACTGACAGGACAACTGCTGTTATTATTTGTTCTGTAAACAAAAGCCTTCTGTTTATTTACTTATTTTATATTCTTATAATTATGAATTTAGGATCTTCTTCTAGTCACCTGCTGACCAAATTTTATTTTTATACAGGAAAGGAATTGGAAAAGCTTGCTTTAGAGGTAGGGTTCTCTACCTCTATACATTATGAAATTAGTGGAGGCCTTATGGGAAATTTGGTGGCATCTCGTTAAATGGGATTCATGTTTTGCCTTGGTTCAAAGCTCTGGAACTTGACTATTGTGAGAATATGGTGTTTTGGCTTCATGTCTTTGATGCATTAAGTTCTGTGGCATTCTCAACGAACCTCAAGCAGCAGAAAATATATAACTGCTGTAGATGTCAATGTTTGTTTAATCAATGCATAAGGTTCTTCTGGTCCCTTCCCAATGCTACTATGTTGTCAGTATATGGATTACGTATCCGAGGATGTATGTTATAAGCCTCATAACAAAATCATCCAAATTCTAGTACATTTTTTCTGTGGTAAATGTAATGAAGACATTATAACTCAACATATAGTTTCTTTTTGCCACTCTGCCCAACTCTGGATAATAAACATTGAAACTTAATTAAGTGGCTGTATACATAATGGAGTTTTGAGAAGCTAAAATCTTGAAGAACTCAAAATCAAATCCTGTTAAGCTCAACTCGACTGGCCTTTTGGAACTTATGGTCAACTTATTATCTCTTCACCATATCTACAAATGTCAGTTTGTTTGAAAGCTTAGTGGTGGCTACCCTCTGGCTAATGGATCCTTTCTCTTCGTGGCTTTCAAGAGACCATTTATGCGAGGAATGTAAGCCACTTCTATTCTTGAGGATGCTTTTGTAGGGTTGGGAGCTTTAGAGGGGTCCAAGGTTTATGGTTGTTATCTGGGATAAAAAGAACTATGGCTGACCGTAGCAGTTGAAGAAGGGCCCTCCGTATTGGAATAATATCGTGAGTCCTTGCATGAGTCATCAAGTTCCATGGTCATTTCATCCATGAAGGGTGGTTTGGTGGGTGGAGGAAGGTGCTCTTCCTCCTCCATTGTCAGCATTCGCATTATCTTCGACATTGTTGGTCGTAGAGTAGGAATCTCCTGGATGCACAAGAGCCCTATGTGCACCACTCTCAATACCTCATCTTTTACTTCCTTGTTGTAGTGATTCTGAAGGTTGAGATTTGGATCAAATAACCTCTCAACTGTGCCTGCTTGGAAATGTCTCCACATCTAATTTACCATGTAGAAACAAAAGGAAGACAGACGTCATACAATTGTTTGGAGAATTTGCGATCAAAGAAGGATATGAAAAGGTTTCACAGAACTTACAGCAGTGACCAGACTTTCAATGTTTCCGGAGACTTGAATGCCATTGTATTGCAATCCTGCAACAATTTCTAACAAAAGCACTCCAAAGCTATAGACATCAGCCTTTTCTGATAACTGACCATAAGCTAGATACTCCGGAGCCATATATCCTCTGTAGATACACAAAGTAGAAAGAAGGAATGTTAGTGGCACTAGAAATCTTCCCTTAGCTTTCATCTAATTGAAGAAATTTCAAACTAACTGGTGATGACAAAACATACAGGGTTCCTGCAACAGCGGTGCTGATATGGCTCTTGTTTTCTTGGAAAGACCTTGCTAATCCAAAATCTGCTATTTTCGCCTGGAGCTTTTGATCCAGCAAAATATTACTGGCCTTTATATCTCTGTGTATAATTTTGATCTTTGGATTTTCATGTAGATATATTAAACCTTCAACTGTTCCAATGATGATGTTAAATCTCTTATCCCAATCAAGAGCTTTACTGTTCTTGGTATCTGTTCAATATTTTGAACAAAGTTTAAGGGAAGATCTTTTTGATTGCTTTAAAGCAATGTATTTTTTCAGAGAGAGCTTTACCAAAAATGAAGCGATCGAGACTCTTGTTCGGTAGGAATTCATAAACAAGTAGGCTTTCAGGTCCAGAACAACTGCATCCAAGCAACCTTACAAGATTTTTATGTTCGACACTGCTGATCATGTTTACTTCATTGTAGAAATCTGCTGCTCTATGTCTGTTATCAAAGAAGAATCTCTTAACAGCAATCTCTCTTCCATCAGGTAGAGTTCCCTGCGATGCATAGGAATGAATAGTAAATGATGTGTTGTTAGTCATAATTGGAGATTGCAGGTCCTGTCAAGATGGAGAGGAAGAATAATAACCTTATAAACAGAGCCAAACCCCCCTTGTCCAATCTTGTTATCCAGGCTGAAATTGTTGGTAGCTTTTTCAAGGGTTGAGTACTTGAAGTTCAAGTTACTATCTTGAAGAGTTTTTGCTAACTTCTTCACATCAGTTGAACCTCCTGTGAAGTGTTAATCATATCATTTGAAGAAAAGAATGTAAATTAATCTCCCCCAAAGAGATCACCATGAAACTTGCAGCTTTGTTTTTGTTTTTTTTTTTTTTTTTTACCTTTTCTTTTATTTTGTATATATCTGTGCTTCCAGATATAAGCACCAATTGCTCCTCCGATTATCAAAACAACAACAGAACTCAGGACCGAAACTATCAATTCGGTTCTTGTGGCACCTGCAGAGAAAGCATGGTCTCAGACATTGGGAGAGTAGAAAAGTTGGTAAGCATACTAAACTTAGTGTGGCAGGATCACTTTTACCAAACTTAGTGTGGCGGGATCACTTTTACCTCTGGAACTAATTTTTATGTCCTTATTGAGGAAGTCTGTGTTCGAGTATCTCATGAAGCAGCCTGTGTTCAGTGCTCGCCCTTCCGATAGAGGTAAACATGACAACATTGAAGCAGAAGCAATTTGCAAACATAATCTGCAAGAGCTGCGGTTCAAACTTCTCCAGCACTGGCCCAGAGCGTAAGCTGCGGACTCATTTGCTCTCCCGGCCATAGCCACTCGAGCTTTCGCAAAGCCTCTGTTGCCTGGTGCAACATTGACTACTTGCATCACTGCCTCCTTGGCTGCTTGTCTGTAGTTGGGGTCATTTTGGGTCAAGTTCCCGCAAACTGCAGTGTCTTCGGGTCCTTTATATTCATCAAAAAAGATATAGTTTTCGAACCTCATGAAGCAGCCATCGATGAAAGTTCGGCCGCCATTGGAAGGGAAGCATTGGGGAAGCACCGTACGTGCTTGAGAATGACACAGCACACATTCGAGGGGGGAGAGATCTCCATGGCATTGGGCAAGCCCATAGCTGGCATCAGGTCCTTTTCCTGTGCCGGCCGTTCCAAATCCTGAAGTTCGGATCTGTTGTCTAACCTTTTCCATGGAACCAAAAAAGTTAGGGACGTAGGCCGTGGTGTTGTGCTCGAGTTCTTTACCGCACAATACTTTCACAGTTTGATCTCTTGGCTTCCCCATACTCGAAGTTGGGAGCAGCAGAAGAATAGAAAGGACTGAAAATAAGACATGAAGCTGGATCGCCATTGATTCTGGGGTTGTGTTGAGTCCGTAAGGTGGCGAAGAAGAAATAGAAGAAGATTGGGTGACAGGCTCTGCGAAAGGGGCTACCAAATATAGAAGTGAAAAGTATTTAACGTTGAAAATGAGGAGTGATGTGATGGGAGAGGATGGTTATAATTGAGAAGAGGTCAAGACGAGGAAGGAGGAGGAGGAGCTGGAGAAAACATCCTGAAGAAACGACGAGTCCCTGAGCGTAAGAAACGAGACCTCACGACACCATCTCCAGTCAAAAGATTCAACGGCGGCGGCTTTCCTCTCTCTTTCTTTTCTTGAAAGCAATAATTTTGTTAAGAATTGAAATGAACTTGGCCCTCGCTTTCTATGGAAACATTTAGTGTTTCATGAGATTATATTGATTCGGAAAATAGTTCTTAAGAAATTCTCCTTTATCTCTCCCTCTCTTGTCGTTCTCCTTGTATGAATAATAGCAGCAGATTATTCTCATTTGTGATTGTTTCATGTTTTCCCATTATGAGAAAAGGGAAAAACCTAACCCGATTGACAAAGCTCATCTTTTTAATTCATTTCTTTTGAACTTGGGGTACCTGGGTTTCAACAAACCCATGACTTAAGCTTTCCAAGTGAGAGAGAAAAAGAAAGACCCATTTTTCGTAAGCCTGGGATTTCAATAATTGAGCCTACGTTGAATTTACGGTAGTTGTATTTTGTTAAAGCAAAAGAGTTGTTGAATTCAAACTTTCCACGAGGAAGCGCAAATCAATTTGGATGCCACCCCTTATTCCGTTCAGACGCGCGGATGTGGAATTGTAGGGGCCACAGAATTGCACTCAGATTAAGCTGGTTCATACAGTTATCGCCAAAATGTCTGCAAAATTCTTCCTCGCCTGAACACTAAATTACTATTACAGTTACTATTACCTGGGATGAAATGAACTGTGGGTCACGGTGGCCGCTGAGGAAGACGCTTCCGTCATGTTGAAGTAGGATGGGTCCTCACTGGTGTCGTTCAGTTCCATCGTCCTCTCGTCCATGAAGGGTGGGTTGGTCGGCGCCGGAAGCTTCTCTTCCTTCTTCCTCAGCATCTGCAGTACCTTGGACATTGTGGGTCGCAGAGATGCGCTCTCCTGTGTGCAAAGAAGCCCGATCTGCACCACTCTCAATATCTCCTCTTTCATGCTTCCATCTCCTTCAACCATAAGGTTTGGGTCGTATATCCTTTCCATTGTCCCCGCTTGAAAGTGCTTCCATGCCTGGTTTATGTTTTTGTTACTTCACTCTCTGTGTTTCTAACCAACTCCCAATTACAAAAGGAAACTACAGAAGAGGGTTCCTTACAATTAGTACTATGCTTTCCAAGTAGTCCGAGGCTTTGCTCCTGCTGTTCTGTCTCCCGGTCACCGTCTCCAGCAACACCACACCAAAACTGTACACATCTGCCTTCTCCGTCAGCTGCCCATGAGCTAAGTACTCTGGCGCCAAATATCCCCTGTGGATCCACAACCCACTTAATGATCTACTTTCACAAAAAGAAAACCATACAAACATTCTCAAGACAAAAAAAGGAAAATACACACAAGGTTCCAGCAATGGCAGTGCTGATGTGGCTCACATCTTCTTCAAAGGATCTAGCTAATCCAAAATCAGCAATTTTAGCTCGAAGCCTTGAGTCCAGCAGTATGTTACTAGCCTTGATGTCTCTGTGAATGATCTTGTTTTTTGAGTTCTCATGCAGGTAAGCCAACCCTTCAACCGTTCCCACAATAATATCAAACCTCTTCTCCCAATTCAGTGATTTACCTCTTTCTCCATCTGCATATAGTTCCCATACCTAATCAGAAGAAATGTTGATATAAGTGATTCCATTGAAATGATGGCGTCAAGATTTACCAAAAATGAAGCGGTCCAGACTTCTGTTGGCAAGGAATTCATACACCAGCAGGCTTTCAGGTCCAGAGCAACTACACCCAAGCAACCTCACTAAATTTTTGTGCTCCACACTGCTAATTATGTTGACTTCATTGTAAAAATCTGCTGCTCTATGTTTGTTATTGAAGAACAGCCTCTTCACAGCTATCTCTCTTCCATCCGACAGAACTCCCTATAGATAAAGACCTCAGTGTTTGAGCTATACATACTAGTTGGATGTTTGAAGCAAACAAAACAAGACTTGCCTTATAAACGGTGCCAAATCCTCCTTGTCCAAGCTTGTTAGCCTCCGCAAAGGACCCTGTTGCCTTTTCAAGGGTAGAGTACTTGAAATTCAAGCTACTATTGTTTAGTGTTTTTGCCATCTTGTTTGCATCGTTTGAACCTTTCAATCCATACATAAATGCTCATCAGGTGATCTCAATTAATAAGTAATCAATCTGTTCTGTTTTTCAAGTTCTTGGGACTTGGAGTAACAATGAATTGAAAGGCAGTGTTTTAAGTTTACCCCTTCGTTTGTTGTTCACATATCTATTATTCCAGATGTAGATGCCAATCAACACTCCAACCACTAAAACAGCAACAGAGCTCACCAGTGAGACTACAATTGCTACAATGGTGCCTGCAGAGTGGGTGAATGGGATTTCCACATTAAGTTTGAACCAGGTACAAGTGGTGCAGGTTGAAAACTTGAAATGAAATATAGCGTATAACATCAATTTTAGGCCATACCTCTTGACCTTGTAGCTTGAGCTTCTGCATTTAAGAAGTCAACATTAGAGTATCTCATGAAACAACCTGTGTTGAGGGCTCTTGCTTCAGATCGAGGCAAGCATTTCAAGATAGAAGCAGAGGCGTTTTGCAAACAGGAAGTGCAGGAGCTGCGATTCAGATTCCTCCAGCACTGAGCCAACAAGTAAACCGAGGCATTGGGGGTTCCAGGGAGAGCCACTTGAATTCTCGCATACCCTCCATTGTTGGGTGCAGCTTCGACTGCACGGGCCACAGCCTGCCTGGTCGACTGTCCATAAACGGAGTTGGTGATGGAATTGTTACCGCACACAGCCCTGTCAAGAGGCCCCGAAAATTCCTCATAAAAGCTGTAATTCTCAGCCCTCATGAAGCAGCCGTCCAGGAAAATCCGGCCGCCGTTGAAAGGGAAGCATTGAGGAAGGACAGTACGGGCTTCCGCGTAACACAACACACAATCCATCAGCGACAAATCTCCGTAACATTGAGCGAGTCCGTAGTTGGCGTCCGGCCCTTTACCCACACGTGCCACTCCAAAACCACCAGTTCGCATTTGGTCACTGATTGCTTGCATTGTGCTCACGAAATTGGGTACAAAAGCCGTTGTATTATGCTCTAACACAGTTGAACAAAGTATCTTCGCGGTTTGGGATCTGGGGTCTGCCACTGTCGATGTTTCAAGTAACAGAAGAGCGCTGATGATAATCAACAACCCACATCGGGGAACAAGTGGCGATCCAGTCTTCATGGTCACCTTCCTTTTCCTGTCTCCGCTTCCGATTGTAAGGCCAATCAAGTATGTACGTGCACCAATAAGAGATAACAGGCACGTGAATTCGAAAAGAACGGAGCGATCATTAATGAAAAGATGCAGGCAGAGAGTAGCAGAAGCAAAGCAGCATTAAGATGAATCCGCCTCCGTTGGGGTCGAACACAGCTTGAACTGGGATTAATGACTGGAACATGGCTAAAAGCTAAGCAGAATCAAAGTCGGAAAGATCAAATTTTTGGATTGGATAGTAGGTGGGGAGCTTCAATTTTAAAGTTTTGAGAGAGAGAGAGAGAGACACGGGGTTGAATAGAAAGTCAAAGGGATAGCCTTGAATTAGATGGCATGTGCTGGCGTGGTTGGGCGGTGGAGCACTGAGCCGCAACTTCAAATGGACATATTTTTCAATTTTGACGATGCCCAAATGTATGTAAACGCTCAAAACGACAGTGAAAAGAAAGCAGAAAAATGTTTGTTTGATTCAGTGCTTATCCGTTCAAAAACTTGGAAGTGGCGTTGAGACTAAAAGCCAAAACTGACCTCTCACTTCTTCTTTTTTTTTTTTTTTTTTTTTTTTTTTTTTTTTTTTTTTTTTTTTTTTTTTTTTTTTTTTTTTTTTTTT